GACATGCCACACAAAAGGCAGTTTGGCGGTAAATGAGTAAAATCAAATCGAAATTCTGTGTCGCGCCCTATGTTTGGCAGTCTGGCCAAAATACAGTCCATAGAGTATAGAAAAGAATGTAAAAGTCTAAATTCCTTTGGGCTGTTAAGACGATAGGCGTTCCTTCAGTTCCAGTTTGATCAAGCACTGGAATGTGGCAACTGAAAAAGGGTCCTACTTCACCAGTTCGCAAATGGCCCTTACGTACAATGTCCGCAGTACATCAAAGTAAATACATTCATTAATTCTAGAAGGAAAACCAAGACAAATAATCAAATGAAAACCCCACTGACATTTCTTTACCTAAACTGTTCAGTGACGATTCATACATGCAATGCGAATCCGATATTCAGTTCACATAGATACGAATTTTAAACGAAAACTAAAAACTTCCTTTTGCGAAGTGAAATATGTAAGCAATTTAATTACAGCCAACGGGACAACAAACAGTGTCTCTCAGGTCCACCCGTCAAACGGTGAGTTGAAGCAATGGAAGTGGCGCTTTATTTCGAATGACCTTACAAGATTTTTCGACGTTTCTTCAAACAATTGACCATCAGCCTGTGACTGACAATCTATGAATATTCACCAATGCCTTGAATCGATGTATTGCTTACGGTGATGTATCTTCTGGATGCAAATCCATAACCACTTCCTTTGGGCTGAAAATTAATACGTTTATTTATTTCAGCTACCGAGGCAACAATCAGTGTCTCTCAAATATATCCGTCAAACGGTGAGTTGAAGCAAGGGAATTGGCGCTCTATTTCGAAAATTTTAAAATGCTCTGCATGCTGAACTCTTGCGGGGCACCGGAATGATCGTGCAGTTTCTAGGACGTCTTGTTTAAACACTTGGCTATCATCCTGACGTTTTTATGACTGTCGCTTTGTGAAATTAATGCATTGCTTACGGTGATGTGTATTTTGAATGCAAATTCAGAACTACTTTCTTTGTGCTGAGAATTCATAAGTTCATTTATTTCAGCTACTGGTACCACAGACAGTGGATCTCAGATCCACCCGTCAAACGGTGAGTTGAAACAATGGAAGTGGCGCTTTATTTCGAACGTTTTCAAATGTCCTACATGGTGAACCTCTGCAGGGCATCGGAATGAACTTGCAAGATTTTTCGACGTTTATTCAAACAATTGGCCATCAGCCTGTGACTGCCGATTTATGAATATTAACCTATGCCTTGAATCGATGCATTGCTTACGGTGATGTATCTTTTGAATGCAAATTCAGAACTACTTTCGTTGTGCTGAGAATTCATAAGTTCATTTATTTCAGCTACTGGTATAACAGACAGTGTCTCTCAGATCCACCCGTCAAACGGCGAGTTAAAGCAATGATAGTAGTGTTCTTTTCAAACGTTTTCAAATGTTCTGCAGATTTTTACGACGCCTCATTTAAACCCTTGGCCATCGGCCTGTCGTTCTTGTGACTGCAATTTTACGAATATTCACCTATGTCTTGTAAAATCAACACACTATTTACGGTGATTTATCTTCTGGATGCCAATTCATAACTACATCCCTTGGGCTAAAAATTAATAAGTTTATTTATTTCAGCTACTGGTACAACAAACAATGTCTCTCAGATACTTCCATTAAGCGGTTAGTTGAGGCAATTGAAATAGTGTACCATTTACACGTTTGTGAATGTTCCGCACGTCGAATTCTTGCGGCACATCGAAATAATCTTACCAAATTACAAAGACTTATCTTCAAAGCACTTAGCCAAATAGAAATTGCGGCAGCCTTTTGTTCTTAACTCTTCTATTCTATCTACATCCAGACGTGTTTCGTGAATTCGATATATAGCTTAAAGTGGTGTGCCTCTTGGGCGATTTCAGTTTATGTGCTGAAAGTTTATAAGTCCATTTATTTTAGCAAACGCAACATCGAGCACTGCCTCTCACGTACAACCGCCAAACAGTGAGTTTAAGCGACTATAGTGCTGTTCTATTTCATATTTTTGCAAATATTCAGCACATCAAACTGTTGGGACGCAGCGAAATAATCTCTCCAAATTATTTAGACGCCTTGTTAAATAATTGACCATTATTCTTGCCTCTGACGATCTACTTGCATATATACATGGCTTGTGCATTCAATGCATTCCTTCCGGTGATGTGTCTTGTAAATGCAAATCCAGAACCCCTCTTTGGGCTGAAAGGCCATTTATTTATTTTAGTCACTGAGACAGTAGTCAGTGTACATTCTTCTAGCCTTGAATTAAAGCAATTAAATGGTTTTGTATTTCAAAAGTTTACAAATTAACAGTAAAGTAATTCCTTTACATTTTTATCCCCTAAGGAATTGGTCAAATCAAAATTGAACCAACTTTCATTCTTATCAGTGCTAGTCCACAGATTTTTCCATATGTCCCGCGAATTTGGTATATGACTTACAAACTTATGCTTCCTAAGTGAGAATTCGAGATTTAACTGTGTATTCTAAAATATGAAAGCAAATTAATTTCAGCTACCGCGGCAACGAACAATACCTCTCGTATACATCCATCGAACGGTGAGTTGAAGCAAGTAAAATGGTGTCCTATTTAACAAGTCTGCACATTTTCTGCATATTCAGCTCTTGCGACACACTGAAGTAATCTAATTAAATTACTTAGTCTTGCTCTTAAGGTAATCATCCGAATAAACGTTCCCTCAGCTTTTCGCTCATACCTCATTTGTTCTACAAAAATTCATTTACGGTGATGTGTCGTTTGAATGCCAACTCTGAATCGTTTTCTGCATGCTGAAAGTTCATAATTTCATTTATTTTAGTTACCGCACCAATAACCAGTGCCCCACATATATATGCAATAAACGGTGAGTTAAAGCAGTTAGAAGGTTATAAATTCCACAGGTTTATAAATTATTTGCACGTTAAAGTAATTTCTTTAAATGTTTAAGACATAGCTTATAGACAATTAACCAATCAAAAGTGCCCCATCTTTTGCTATCAATACCGTTCTTCCATGGATATTCACATATGCCTGCTGATACCAATCCGGGATTTCACTTTCTATACTGAAATTGCATGAGCACATTTATTTCAGCTACCGCGACGACGAACAACACCTCTCATATAAATCCACTGAACGGTGAGTTTAAACAATCAAAATGGGATTCTATCTTTCGGGTCATTGAACCAATCACAGTAGACTATTAAGACATCCCTTTTAAACAATTGGACAAATACAAATTCCCCTAGCCTTTAGTTCCCACCCCTGTTGTGCCACAAACCGTTTGTAAATTTTCTGCAGATTGAGCTCTAGCGACACACTGAAGTAATTTAATTAAATTACTAAGACTTCCCCTTAGGACAATTGCCTTAATAAAAGTTCCCTCAGCCTTTCGCTCTTACCTCTTTTGTACTTCAAAAATTCATTTACGGTGGTGTGTTTTGAATGCAAACTTTAAATCCTCTTCTGTATGTTGCAAATTCATAAGTCCATTTATTTTAGTTACCGCACCAATAACCAGTGTCCCACATATATATGCAATAAACGGTGAGTTAAAGCAGTTAGATGGTTATAAATTCCACAGGTTTATAAATTATTTGCACGTTAAAGTAATTTCTTCAAATGTTTAAGACATAGCCTTTAGACGATTAACCAATCAAAAGCGCACCATCTTTCGCTGCTCTTCTACGGGTATTCACACATGTCTTATGATACCAATCCGAGATTTCACTCTCTATGCTGAAATTTCATGAGCACATTTATTTCAGCTACCGCGACAACGAACAATACCTCCCATATAAATTCACTGAACGGTGAGTTGAAGCAATCAAAATGGGATTCTATCTTTCGGGTCATTGAACCAATCGCAGTAGACTATTAACACATCCCTTTTAAGCAATTAGGCAAATAAAAATTCCCTCAGCCTTTAGTTCTCACCCTTGTTCTGCCACAAATATTCACATACAGTAGGCGGGCTAACTCAGGAAATGCCGAAATGCGTTTTCGCTTAGAAAAGATTAATTAAGTAGGGTTGTAAAATTAATCAGCCTGCAACATAGTTCCATAATATTTCAGTTACCTCAAGATGCCGGATTTCGAATGAACTTTCTTTCAGTTGCATGCAAAAAACTACACTCTGTAAAAATGACTATATATTTAGCATTAATTTTTCTCATCGATTTTGTAAGCCCCTAAAAGTCAAATTATATTTCATTGAAAACATGCATAAAAATAATCATTCTTTCACTCATTCGGTAGATAATTAAAATTTTTTAAAATTCCCGAGCAACTTTGAATCCGACTTACCGTTACACTTGGACTCAGGGTTCTTAAACTACGAGCCGTAAAGTTTCCGCGTACGGAAAACCACACATTTCTCTACGGTAATACAGGGGGACCATATAGGGTTCATAGCATTAAGCAGTAGGATTTAATGCAATTGTTAACTTTACAAGTCACATTGGTACATGTAGAGACATGACGATTTATGAAAGGACATTTCACGGTATTTAAGTGTCCCACACATAGAAACTTTTGTAAAACCGAATTTTGTCCCTCCTTCGAACATCAAATTAGAAAAAACGTAATTATTTACCGAATGAGTAAAAGACTGAATATTTTTATGCATGTTTTCCATGAAATATAATTGGACTTTTAGGAACATCGAACATCAATGAGAAAATTCATGCCACTTAAGTGGTCATTGTTTACAGAGTGTAGTCTTTCCATGCAGCCGGAATGAAATTCATTCAAAAGCCGGCATCCCAGGACAACTGAAATATTATAGAATTACGTTGCTGGCTGACTAGTTTCACAACCCAACTTAATTAATCTTTTCGAAACGAAAATGCATTTCGGAATTTCGGTT